GTCCAAAAGGGGGTCTAGTAGGGTGGCCACATTTTGTACCGACCCCGCGCGTCTTTAGTTAAGGCATGGGTGGTTCTCATTACAAATGATATTTGTACATGTAACCCATTTGCGGTCAGTGTTCTCAAGTAGGTCATGTGTTAGCTTGTAGTCTAAAACATCCAAGGACATCTCATTGAAATACAAAATGCAAAGTATTTTAAGAAAATACCTATTATATGTTTATTTTAAGCACTTTTAAGTATTGCCAAATTTTCAGGAGCTTGTCAAGGTCTGTGCAAACCGCTGTTATGAGGACAGGCTTATGGAAATGTGTTGAGATATGGAGTTATAGTGTTACGTGTATGTGGGGGAAACAGCGGAACACTTGCAATCACAACGCGAGGAAAAAACACACTTGTGACATGTGTCTTCTCCGAAATAGCATTGTTGAGTCAAATCAGAGTCTTAGAGAAAAGCTTTATCCAGCACCGTAGCTTGCGTTGTTGGGAGGATTTTGCCCTGGAGTGCTTTGCCAACATTGTGGAGCCACAAACATAATCAACGCAACTGGCAGCGAATCCATGAGGGAATTTGCGCAACCCACGGATCTCCCGACATTCACAGTTCTTAATGCGAGTTCCCAAAAGTTTGATGACGAACTTGAAAAAAAGTGGAACTGTTAGCCTTAATTTTCAATATCATGAGTCCGCGACATTAGATCAATTCTCTTGAGGGGGCTTTGAGTATGTTTTGCATGAAGAGTCAATCGCGATAATGTGTATGACCACGAACTGATCATAGTTAGATGTATCGAAGGAACCAGATACCTTAAAATTGCCATCTCTTTTCACTTTACCTTTACTACACACTTCAATCATGAAGGCAGAACAAAACGCATGTTTAATGGAGTCTTTGGCCGAACATTCCTTAGATTCAATAACTTGACGGACTGAAATTTTACTTTACAAGCGATCAACTTGAAGTTGTATTTCAGACCATGGATAGTAAACAGACTGTACGTATGTCTTCTGCTATCCATGTTCAAACTTTCCAGTAAATATAATTTTTGTGTTCACTCACCAGTTTCGTTTTCGGTTCCCTTCTCTTCAACGGTTGTCTCCTCGATGTTACATGCCATCTTTGTAAAGAAGACTTCTCTGACAAAGCGAAAAGGTATTTTCTTGTCTTCACGATTGGCACAAGGAAGTATAAACTCGTTCGATCGAGCAGACAGCATTATCAGGAAGAGACTGGGGACTATTTTACTTGGTTTACGGTTTTCTGCCGCTTTCACGCTTGAAATATCATAAAATGTTAACCATCACACGTTTAACACATTGCCCAGCTCAACTAAAAACTTTCTCGACGTTTGGACAGCCTGCTGGTCCGCTGCCTGCACTCGGTTCACTTACACTTCACATCCGTTCCACAACCTGTTTGCAGTTTCACAATTTTGACGCCGCTTCCGGTTTTCGTGAAAACAGAAAACCTAAGAAACGGGCAATGGAAAATCACATTTCTCCGGCACATGCAGCGTACAAAGCTTACCTCTCAGTGACTGGCTTACCTTTTGGCACGAAACAGGAGGAAATTTGAAGTCTTCACAATATAAG